GGATTTTTCTTATTAGTTATATTTGCGATCATATTTTGTTCATTATTTATTATAATATAATTTTTTTTCCTTTTCTAGTATTTTTTGGACTAGGATTTTAAATGTTTTTGAAAAAAGTACTTCAAAATGAGGTACTACCGTATCTGATTTAATTTAATTTAGAATAATAGTTTAATGAACTCGTTTGACGAATTTTTTTACTGTTACCTTCTTTAAAATATTGAATCCCCTTACATAAAATTCTGGATCCACCACTAGCTCAACGTATAACTGCAACTGACTCGAGTTAGATACAGTTAACTGATATATACTTTTTTTTCGTAACAAAAGATTTTATTACCAAAATGGGTGTTGAATTACAAAGCATTTGGTGACGGAGAGTTGGACATTAATCACAACACTTCTAGTCAGGCTCATGATCAAAATCAACTATGAACTAAACTACCAAGGCAAACAACTTACAACTTAAGTAGGGTAGAAATTAAAATCTGCTAACCAACTAGCTACTTTGGGTTTCTGAGTACCTCTAAAATACACCTCTTGGATTATATGTTTGGTCATTAGATTCACAGGCTGTCGCTTACTTTGAAATACTCTCATGTTCCTTTCTCTCCATATAGAGTAGACTGCAGCTGCAAAACACATTCTGTATACCTCTGCTCTAGCATACCTTCCACTAGAAAACTTGATTGCCTATTGTAGTTCATCATCCCAGTTCCTAGGCCTCATGTTAATACCTTGCCATTTGAGAATTTTCTGCCAGACTTGATCAGCCACTTCACATTTGAAGAAAACGTAGGAGTGACTTTTACTTTCCTGGCTATACAAAGGGCAGGTTGTATCGCTAGTCATCCCCATTTACTTAGTTTATCCCTTGTATGTAGCTTGCCATGAGCTGCTAGCCGTAATACAAAGATCCATTTGGGCAGTCTAAGATTTTACATACCATTTTCCTCCAGGACACCTTTGGAAACTCACCTCTTAGCCTCTGGTAAAACTTCTTTGAAGAGAACTGATCCATGTTGTGTATGTCAGTCAGTTCATATCCTGCTTCTATATAGTACATTTATGCTTTCATAATCTTTTGGATAATCCACAAACTCTGTTTTGGAATGTCTTCCAGGAAGTTCCTATTAGCCCCATAATAATAGTGTATCCATTTAACCCGTAGCTTGCCTATCTTTTGGCATAAGTTCCAAAGCAATTTGCTAATAGTCGTTTTGTTCCAAGCTGTAATGTCTAAAATGTTTAGACCCCCAGCAGTTTTAGATTGACATACTCTGTACCGGGCCAATCATATTTTCTTTGAGAGTTCAGCACTACCAGTCCACAAGAAACTTCTACATGTAGGTTCTATGATCTGCACAACTTTCATAAGGAGCACAAAAATTTGAGCCCAGAAGACTTGTACAGAGAATAAGACAGATTTGATGAGTTGTGATCTACCAGCATATGATAGGAACTTGGTAGTCCAAGATTTGATTCTCTGTAGAATCATATCGAGCAGAGGCTTACATTGTACACATGAGACTTTTTTGGAGCTAAGGGGAACCCCTAGATATATGAAGGGAAGTTCTCCTTTAGTGAACCCGAGCATCTGAAAAATTTCTTATTTTACAGCAGTGTTCATGCCTCCAAAGTAGACTGAACTTTTGGCAAGGTTAGCTATGAGTCCAGAAACAATTGAGAAGTGCTGAAAGTGCTCAATCAAGTATCTTACTGATGCAACATCGCCTCTAAAAAAGAAGCAAGTCATCTGCAAACCCCAATTGGATGATATTTAGCTTGGCACACTTGGGGTGGAAGTAGAAATAAGGATTTTGCCCCAATTGCTTCAATACTCTGCTCAAGTACTTCATCACTAACACAAATAGGAATGAGGATATAGGATCCCCTTAACTCAGACCCTTTTTGGCATCAAAAGGTTTAGAAGTCTTCTCATTTATAATGATTGAGAAAGATACTATCCTAAGGTATGTCATTATCCAGCCCACAAATACACTAGGAAAGTTCAGACCAATCAGAACTTGCTCAATAAATGTCCACTCCACAGAATCATACGCTTTTTGCAAGTCAATCTTGAGCATACATCTTGGAGAAATACATTTCCTCCCATAGCCCCTTATCAGTTCATGGCTTAATAAGATGTTATCAATTATAACTGTAACGACCCGCCCAGTCGTTTTGCCTTTTAGAATCCCGTTTCCTAAAACAAAACTTCCCGTGCTTGCTTTAGCTAATTTACGATTTGCGGGGATGGTCGGTTCGGGATTTGGAAGAGTTTGGAGTGAAATATGCCTATTTGATTCCTTAGGATTTTCTTAAAAGGCTAAGTTGACTTTGGTCAACATTTTGAGCAAACGGACTCGGATTCATAATTTGACAGTTCTGGAGGGTCCGTAGGAAAATATGGGACCTGCGCGTATGTCCGAAATTGAATTGGTCCCTAGTCCGAGTAATGAATTTTTATTAGAAATTGTTAATTTAAAGTTTTAAGGATTTAAAAAACATTGATTAATGATTTATTTCATGGGTATCGGGATCGTATGTTGGTTCCGAAGCCTGGTACAGGTCCGAAATATCATTTAAGATCTGCCCGTAAAATTTGGTGTCAATCCGAGTAGTTTAAGAGCATTTTGGCCCGTTAGAGGAAAATTAAGAACTTGAAGTTCATAAGTTTGATTCATTTGGTTTTAGGGGGTGATTCCTAGATTTAGCGTTGTTTCGGGTGTTCCGAAGGTTCGAGTAGGTCCGTCTCGTGATTTCAGACTTGTCGGTATGTTCGGGGCCCGGGAGCCCCGAGCGTCAATCGGACGAGGCTCGAGTGAAGTGCAAAATTTTGGGAAGAGCTGAAGTTGTTGCTTCTATCATAACCGCACCTGTGGTTGGTGGACCGCATGTGCAAGACCGCAGATGCGGTCCTTCCATCGTAGAAGCGGCCCAGTTCAGCCAGGCCAGGAGCCGCAGAAGCGGCTCCGCAGATGCGGCCTCGAGACCGCAGAAGCGGTCCCAGCTCTTTTGGCCCATTTCGCAGATGCGGTCCATATCTCGCAGATGCGGGACCGCAGATGCAGTCCCCTGACCGCAGATGCAGAAATCGCTGAAGCAGTGAGGTTCATTTAATACGGGTTCTAAGTCATTTTTATCACTTTTTCACTCCTTCATTGGGCGATTTTAGAGATTTGAGAGAAGAACTTCACCTAGCATCTCGAAGTAAGTGTGTTCTACCTATTTCTAGTTTAATGATTATGTCTTAGATAGATTAAACACTAGTATTGAGGTGAAATCATGGTTTAGAGCAAAAACCTAGGGTTTTAATAAAAGTTAGATTTAACCACGAAATTTGTTATGGAATAAATTAGAAATCATATATTATTGATCCTTAGGATGTAGAGAACAACTTCCTTCGAAAAATCTCGGAATCCGAGCACGTAGGCCCGGGGTCGGATTTTAGGAAACTTGTGTTAATGATTGGGAAATTGCTTAAATAGCTAGAATTCAATCTTGTGAGTCTATATTGACTAGTTCTTACTTCGTTTAACTAGTTTGGGATCGTTCAGCTCCGAATTGAGGGCTTGGACTCGTTCTTTGTATTGGAAGTGCACTTTGGAGCAAGGTGAGTCTCCTTTCTAACCTTGTAAGAGGGAATTGTCTCCATAGGTGTAATCATTGAATTAATTGCCATTATATGCGGGGGCTACGTACGCACTAGGTGACGAGAGTCCGTGCGTAGCGGCTATTATGTTAAGTCCGGGTAGTCTAGGACCCAGAAGCATGATCTACGTGATATTCTTGTAACTTGATGATAAATTCGGAGTTCGTATAAATTATTTTGATTAAGGTAAATGAGACTAGTGGAGGAACCTTTTCCTGTTTGGTCTTTTAAAAGAGAATTTTGGATATTCCTGTGAATAACTACTCCTCAGATATATATCATCTGTCTGCTTGTTGATGAGCGTATTTATATTTGACCGCGTCGCACGTGTGATTCGCGAGCAGGGTAATAGATGCATCTATGGTTCGAGCCGTTCGACCCTCGACAGTGCACAATTTACTTTTATGTTGGATCGGGCCGTACGTCCCTCGGTGTTACGTGCGCATGTTTTACTTAGCCTTTCTCTGTGGACTGAACTTCAAATCTGCTTGAAATATAGATGGATACCCATGATAATATTTGGAAAAGAACTGTTATTCCATGCTTATTAAATGCTAACAACCTGTGCTATCCCTGCTTACTATATATCCTTCTCACATTATTTGACCCTAGTAAGTATCAAGTCGACCTCTCGTCTCTACTTCTTCGAGATTAGACGGGATACTTACTGGGTACATATTGTTTATGTACTCATACTACACTTCTGTACTTAATTGTACAGGATCTGAGGCGGATGTATCTGGCTATCAGTCTGGTGCGCATCCCTGAGCGGACTCGAGACTTCTACGGTGAGCTGCTTCCCTTCCATGTTGTTCAGCAACCCGGAGAAGTCTTTCTTATGTATATTTGGTTGTCTATTCTGTTTCAGACAGTAGGATAGTGTGATCCTTTTGTATATTCTACTAGTTGCCCACAGCTTGTGACACCAGATCTTGGCACACACATTAGTAGACTGTATTATTTTGGGGTTGTATGATTATCATGACTTTATTAATCGTTTCTGATTTTATTTCAACTATTTCAGGGTAAGTAAATGAAAGTTTATTTAGTATTTTCCGCGTTGGCTTGCCCGGCAATGGTATTGGGCGCCATCATCACCTATTATGGAAATGGGTCGTGACAATAACCCTCCCAGGAACAAAAGCAGCCTGGCTACTATCAACTAGGTAATCCATGACATTCTGCATCCTCCTTGTAATAACCTTGGAAATCGGTTTGTACAATATAGTGCAACAAGATATGGTCCTAAACTCCTTAATATTATAGGGTGATTGTACCTTAGGAATCAATGTAACGGTGGTGCAGTTGATAGTCTTATACATCTATTTGGTTTGAAAGAACTGGATCACAGCATCTGAAACATTCTCACCAATAATAGGCTATGCTTCTTGAAGAAGTAGGCATTAAAACCATTACATCCTGGGGACTTTAGATCGGATATATCTTTCAAAGCAAAGTAGACTTCTTCTCTTGTGACTGGAGCTATAAGAGACAGTTGTTGTTCTCTTTTCAGAATGGAGTTATCAACTATCACACTAGGTGTAATTGCAAGTAGTCGTGTAGCACAAGTGCCTAGAAGTCCCTTGTAAAATCCAATGACCTCTTCTTCAATTGCCCTGTCAGTGTGTACTACATCTCCACTAGTAGTGGTCAGCCTATTAATGTGATTCTGGGCAATCCTATTCTTGAGGTAAGCATGGAAAAAAGCTAAGTTGGTGTCTCCTAGCCTCAGCCATTGAACTCTAGATTGTTGCTTTAGGATACTTTCCTCTACTAGGATCCATTTCTCTAAGTTGAGTTTAAGCTCTTTCTCTATATCATATAAATTTGGATCATTGTAGCAGGTTCTTAGCATCTCTTGAATATCATATTGATCTTGCCTGATATTTTGTATCCTCTGCTCAAATTTACAGAACCCGTGTTCGTTTAAAGCTTTTATCCCTTCCTTCATTAGTTTGAGCTTATGCTAGACTTTTTCCATATACTTCTTGCACAATACAATTCCACACAGTAGCGACAATATTAAAAAACTCTGTATGAGTAGCCAAGTGATTCGGGAACCTAAAGGGTCTTGCCACCTTTCTTGGGTTCCTGCTGAATGTAATGCAAATCATGAAATGATCAGAAAAATAAGGGTCTTTAGCTTCAACCGCAAGTTGGGGACATAGAGACATCCAAGAAGGATTGACCAGAGCTTTATCAATTTTGCTGTAAATGTTTGAGTAAGTCCAGGTATAGAACCTTCCCACTATTTTCATCACTGTTAGGCCAGTTGACCCCAAGAATTTCTCAAAATCTTTCACCTCTATATCTTGTATTGCACTTCCTCCCATTCTGTCATTAGGTTGGAGTACTACATTGAAATCTCCCATAATGAGCCACGGGCTTTGAATATTGGGCTCCATTCATGCAGATCATGCTATAGGTGCTTCCTATCAACTATTGTATGAAGTCCATATACTACAGTGAATTCAAACTTAATAGTACATTCTGCACTTGTGATAGCACAGTGAATGAATTGAGAGCTTGTATAAAGCATTGTAACATCAACATGCCTGTGATCCCATACTAGCCAGATCCTTCCTCGACCATTAGTATCATAGTTATCATGCCGGCTCCAGGTAGGAAAAACTTTCTTTATAATCCTTGAGGCATTGTGTTTAATGACTCTATGTTATGTAATGGCTAATACTACTATTTTCTCTTCATTTACTATCTTCTTCATCTCCTTGTGCTTAAAAAGCTTATTGACACCCCTAACCTTCTAAGTAGAAATAATCATTGATGATTCTTGTGGGGTCTAGGAGGCTTTCCTCCTTGGCTAGAGCTGCATCTTGTGTCCACCTTTCCTAAAGTTACTTGCAACACCTGCTGAAATGAGGTTCCTCTCATAGGGGTGACACCATTCTCAACATCCACCAGGTATTGACTACTTTTATCGACTACCTGAGGCATTGCAACTGTTTTCCCTTTTACTTTTGTCCATCCCTCTTTTCTATTTTCAGGATCACCCTCCACCTCCTCTAATGGCACATCAGGTATTGGTGGTAGTTGGGCATCTTTTATTTTTCAAACTTTCTTAGTCCTCCTTGTCTCAATCTTGGCTTGCTTAGGCTGGTTCTTTACTTGCTCGGCCTTACAGATATGTCCAAGTTGGCAGCATACTGGATAGTACTGAGGCCACCATTCATATCTAAACATTTTGTCATAGGGCTTGCTAGATGAATCCAACGCTTTGACAATTTCAAGCAGTAGGATAATTATGTCCATTTCAATAAGTACTCGAGCACAAGAAATACTCTCTTTACGAGAGGTGCATTCAGCACATAAAGGAGTGCCTAATACACTAGCTAGCCTGCTTAGAGAATTGGGGCTCCAGCAACTCAGGGGTAAGTTAGAAAATGTTACCCATAGGGAAATTATTTTGAGTATCTCCTCAGTGAAATTGAAATTGGAATTCCAGGGTTTGACAATCACAGGATTACTATTCAGCATATGAGGTCCGAACATCAAGACATCATCCCTATCACCATGGCTATAGAATCGTATCACAAAATAACCATCGTTATGGTAGTATATGTGAGGCTTATGCTAAAACGTCCACTGGCTCCTTAGGAATTTGGTGATTGCCCCAATAGTTGGAGAATCCCTAACCATATAGAGTATTAGTGTATATTCTTCAAGTTTTAGATTCCTTTTCGATATCAGCTTTATCAAATTGAACCATTTTAACACCATTTTTTATTATCGGAGCAATAAATTGCAGATTGATACCTTTTGAAGCTAGCCGATTCCCTGTGAATATATTCGCCCATGTCTTTTTCTCTTCCATAGGTGGTGGTGGC